TTTTTTTTAAAATACAATTTATACGATGGGAAGATCAAAAGTCTAGTATCTATACATAATATTATTTTTTATACGGTATACAAACTTATACCATACACTTATGTTAAGAAAGCCTTCATTAAACGCATATATCACCACCCTTCCCCCTAACCTAAACATGAATGCTAACCTAGAAACTAGTTTGGAGCCATTAAACATGGAAAATAAAATATACATTGAAGAATAATGTTTGTAACATATTTTTACGAATATTCAAAGAATAATGCATATTCTTTGAACAGAAAAAGATACATAAAAAATTTTACGAATATTTTTAAGATACAAAAATACATTGAAGAATACTTGGACAATATTTTTACTAATATTCAAAGAATAATGCATATTCTTTGAAGAGAAAACTAAAAAAAGATACAAAAATGATATAGCACGTTGATGAGGTAGTTGTCAAATAGCAGTTTATATAATAGTCGTTTATAATAAGGTCATTCGTATCGACCTATAGCTACCATATAAGTCCATTGACTAATATGGTTATAGTCATATAACCTATGCTAATTATATCGAATGTGCCTATGATGTAGCGCCTGGCGGGCTGTTAGCTAGTGTGTATCGTCTTACGAGAATAGAGGATGGTGTGGATCAACCAGAGGAGGTATGCATAAAAGTATTTGCCTCCAGGAGGAATCCTAGAATTCCGTCTGTTTTCTGGGTTTGGAAAAGTGTGGATTTTCAAGTACGAGAATCATATTATATGTTGGGAATCTCTTATGATAATCATCCACGCTTGAAAGGTATCTTAATGCCTGAAAGTTGGATAGGATGGCCCTTACGTAAGGATTATATTGCCCCTAATTTTTATGAAATACAAGATGCTCATTGAATGATAAGAAAGCTATTTCCACTTAGACAATTTCAGATATTCAAGAACTGCACGTTCTGTTCTAGATTAAGCAGGTCTAATTTAGGGAATTATCGATAGGCTAACAAAAAAGACAATTATTGTGATTCATAGTAATATCGACTGCTTATATAATAGCCGGTTATATTAATTTCATTCATTAAGGTCATTCGTATCGGCCTATAGTAATCATATAAGTCCGTTGACTAATATGGTTGTAGTCATATAACCTATGCTAATTATATCGTTGTGATTCATAGAAATATCGGTCGCTTGTATAATAGTCGTCAATATAATTTCATACATTAAGGTCATACGTATCGGCCTATAGCAACCATATAAGTCCATTGACTAATATGGTTGTAGTCATATAACCTATGCTAATTATATAGTTGTGATTCATAATAATATCGACCGTTTATATAATAGCCGGTTATATTAATTTCATACATTATGGTCATACGTATCGGCCTATAACAACCATATAAGTCCACTGACTAATATGGTTGAAGTCATATAACCTATGATAATTATATCGTTGTGATTCTTAGTAATATCCACCATTTATATAATAGCCGCTTATATAATTTAATTCATTATGGTCATACGTATGGACTATAGAAACCATATAAGTCCATTGATTAATATGGTTGAAATCATATAACCTATGGTAATTATATCATTGTGATTCTTAGTAATATCGATCGTTTATATAATAGCCGTTTATCTTAATTTCATACATATCGGCCTATAGCAACCATATAAGTCCATTCACTAATATGGTTGTAGTCATATAACCTATGATAATTATATCGTTGGGATTTTTAGTAATATCGACCGTTTATATAATAGCCGTTTATCTTAATTTCATACATATCGGCCTATAGCAACCATATAAGTCCATTCACTAATATGGTTGTAGTCATATAACCTATGCTAATTATATTGTTGTGATTCTTAGTAATATCGACCGTTTATATAATAGTCGTTTATATTAATTTTATACATATCGGCATATAGCAATCATATAAGTCCATTCACTAATATGGTTATAGTCATATAACCTATGGTAATTATATCGTTTTGATTCTTAGTAATATCGGCCATTTATATAATAGTCGTTTATATAAGTTAATTCATTATGGTCATACGTATCGGGCTTATAGCAACCATATAAGTTCATTGACTAATATGGTTGAAGTCATATAACCAAAGGTGATTATATCGTTGTGATTCTTGGTAATATCGACCGTTTATATAATAGCCGTTTATATTAATTTCATACATATCGGCATATAGCAACCATATAAATCCATTCACTAATATGGTTGTAGTCATATAACCTATGCTAATTATATCGTTGTGATTCTTAGTAATATCGACCGTTTATATAATAGCCGTTTATATTAATATCATATATATCGGCCTATTGCAACCAAATAAGTCCATTCCCTAATATGGTTGTAGTAATATAACCTATGCTAATTATATCGTTTTGATTCTTTGTATAATCAACTGTTTATATAATAGACGTTTATATTAATTTCATACATATCGACATATAGCAACCATATAAGTCCATTCGCTATTATGGTTGTAGTCATATAACCTATGCTAATTATATCGTTGTGATTCTTAGTAATATCGACGGTTTATATAATAGCCGTTTATATTAATTTCATACATATATATCTGCCTATAGCAACCATATAAGTCTATTCACTAGTATGACCTTGTTTATATAATAGTAAATATATAATTCGGCATATTTTTATTGGTTAATCTTAATTGTAATAATCTTCACCAAATATCTTAATTATAATAAAAGGAAAATCATGATTAAATTTTAGAACTTTATTAGGAGGGAAAACAAGATGACATTTTTGGACTAAAATGTCAAATACAATTTTCGGAGGGAAACAAAGGGAAAAGTAAAAATATGATTGGAGGGAAATAGAAAGTTTTGAGTCTTTATATATCTCTTAAACACAAGAACAAAATTTTCAACTCTTTAAACAAAATAGATACTCTAAACATAAATGCTAGAGGATGGATTGAAGATGAATTCTATCCATGGTTTCGGTTGGACGTGCCCAGTTCGTACATCAAGCATGATTATGTGGTAATTTTTTTTATAATATTTTCATGATTTGATAACTGTTGATTATCCCAACTAGCAATGAAGCATGAACCTTATCTTTAAATTATGTTCTTGCAGTTTCTTCCAAAGAGTATTTTTGGCTATCTTCCTCCTATTTCGGTTAAAACTATGCTTCGATATAATGGGAAGGAATGGGCTGTGACTTCCACAAGTGGTGTTCGGAGAAGACTCGTTAATGGTGGAAATAATTTGTTGTCGACAATAATCTGAAGAAAGGGGGTGTTCTTCTCTTGGAACTAGCTCAGGCTACATCAGGGGCTGTGATCTTCTCTGTTGAAGTGCTAGGATAAACTAATGTTTAGCTTGATAATTTCTTCTCTTTAGTTATATTTACTAACTTCAAGTGGATCAAAGTAATGGATTAATATGATTGTTCTTTATAATATTGTTTGTATTTTTTCCATTTGTTATTGTTATATTTATTTATTTTAAGAAGACTATTGGTTTAAAAATAGCCAATTAAAATTGAGAAATCATTTAACAATATATTTAGTGCAGAAGTCCCCCTATTCTTTTCTACATTTTACAACCAAGAACAAAACTAGAAAGATTATTTTTTTTTTAAAGTTTAAAAATCGACATTACTTTGCTCATAGAGAAGTGGAAAAATCAACACGAAAAATCAAAAATTGTATTTACCACTACAAAATTTTGGAGACCGATCCGTTATTAATTAGAACTCAACCACCAAGATGAAGGTTAAGACTATGAGATAAAACCTATGAAGTGCACTCTCACTATATGGTAGAAGTATAAAAAACAATTTAAAAAATCCAAAATATGTGAAGTGCACTGCCACTATATGGCAGAAGTTAAAAAAAAAATCAAAATCTGTTAAGGCGGATGGATAAAGACAAGCTTCTACAATTAATTGTAGTCATGGAGGAGAGTAATGGTTGCATGGAGGAGTGAAATTGACTACTGGGAAGTGTAATGGTTGCATAAAGGAGTGGAAGGGACTACTGAGAAGTGTAATAGATGCACGGAGGAGTGGAAAGTGCTGCTAGGATGTGTAATGTCCGCATGGAGGGGCGGATATGGCTACTGGGAAGTGTAACGGTTGCATAGGGATTCTACAAAGAGACTTTAAGTCCTAGTGGGAAGTGGACCAGCTTATAAGCTTAGCCAAACACCCTCTTAGTCACCAAGCTTTTTCACCGCTAAAATATAACTAATTTTAGACAAATAATAATTTTCACTAGTTGCGTATAATATTAGAGATGAAACTAGTTTGTCACCAGTAACTTTAGATATTGTGACTAATGTTACTAAATAACTAGCGACAATCCATGTTTTTGGTGGAAAACTTGAGTAGATAAAACTATCACTACGAAATTTTTGTTTCTTCACTAAATATATGTGCGTGTGCATTTAAGTACGACTCTAATTTTTGTTCCAAAAAGATAATAACAGTGATAAACTTTATATGCTACCTAATAATTTCATAGGTAAAATAGAGATGATACACCGATCGTCACTAATTTGTTTATGCTATTAGTGACAAAAACTAAGGTTGCAAAAAATATAAAACTTTTAGTGAGGAAACTATTTTGTAGCGAAAATATAACTAATTATAAGACGAACAATTATTTGTCACCAATTGTCTACAAGATTAGTGACGAAACTAATTTATCACCAATAATATTAATTTTGTGGCTAATATTAATTAATATTTGGCGCCAATTCATTTTTTTGTGGGAAACTTTAGTAGACAAATTTTGCTATAAAATTTATGTTTTGTCACTAAAAGTATGTGCCTCATGTATTTAAGTACGAAATATAATTTTAGTCACAAAAAATGGATAATTAGTGACAAATTTTCTATTGTAGCTAATATTTTCGTAGTTGAAAATCACACTTGTTGTAGTGACTTCTTAGTTGAAGCACTATATATTTAAGTGTTAGGGTTAGAAAGTAATAAAATATTATTTTAGTGATACAGTAATATAGAAACTATATTACAATAGTTTAATCGTATTTTTTTAGTATATTATGCGTATATTTTAGTTTATTTCGTTTAATTGGTATAGTATATGTATATGAGTATAAATTGCTTTATGAAAAGTGGTGTAGCATGTATGTGTAAATGTGAAAGAAGCATAAGACAATTAAACTAATGAGAGAGAATTGGAGGGAAAAAATTAAACTAAAAAACAAATCTGCTAAAGGGTATATCTGGAAAACGAAAATGCTTAAATATCCATTATGCCCTCAAAAGCGGTGCGAAGTTACCATAATACCCCCATTCTGGACATTTGGGTCATTCTTAATTTGGCCAAATATATTTTCCGTTTCTGAAAATACTTCATTTTCAATTCTTCTATTCTCTTTCTACAATTATTTCAGTTTTGGCATAGAACATGGGAATTGGAACCTGCTATTTTTTTCCTCCAAATTCTCCTTGCATTTAAGTACAGTCAATGCGGCTTTCTATTTGGCACCACTTTCTAACTTCCAAACAATAAAAGAGAAGCGGGACTTCATTTCTTTAATTTATTCTTTTGCTGCTAATCCAACATGGTCTGCTTTGTCATCTGTCATTTCCAGCTGCCCCAATATGTTTAACACAGATGTACATCTCTTTCATTCGTAAACCTGGATCCGTTTTGCCACCATAATTCAAATATTACAGCAACAGCAGATAATTTTACTTTCATTAATCCCATCGGTAATCTCACAAATCAAGTTCCATACATATACTCTGAGACTCATGTAGCTAATGGCTGTATAACATATAATCAAGATTCATATCAGGTAAAACAACATAGTTTCTCGATACTATATTGTTATATCTTATTCAACTTTTCACTTTAGACGTGTATTCCCTGCTTCCCCATTTACATTCATGGCGTTGATTAAAGGATAAAACAAAACTAGCATGCTTCAGATTTTGTCTCTTGCAATCCGCAAACCATGTTAGCTGGTACTGCAACGTCCATCATTTTTGGATATGATAAATTCAAATCTGTTATAAAAGATGCTATCATCAGCAAGTAAATATAAAAGTGAAAGGGCAATAAGGAGAAAAAAATGTAACAAAGGAAAAGGTCTCTGTAAAATGGCTTACTCACTTTGCATAATGTTTTTGAATGTTTCCTGTAAAGAAAAGTTACACAAAAAATATGAGTACTTAAACTAGTTTCAAAAGGAAAAGATATTCAGCTTACATGCGAAACTTTGTGGAACGGAGTTTTGCAAGTACACAAATGAAGTAACTCGATGCCTCCAAGATAATTCTAAATTTGAACACCAAAAGAGCGAAAACAAATAACACTATCATCAAGTGTATACTCTGGGATTACTATTAGCCAAACACACATGACACAACTTTTCCTTTCCAAAGTTTTCAACTATAGATGGACTGATTCAGCAACTATTTCCACTTCTTAACTACAAAGAGCTAAACTTAGGGCAATCTTGAAACTAGATTAAAAATTTCTTACTTGGAAGTACCTTATCTTCTTCTTTTCTTTTTTGATAAAGGATAGGAAGTACCTTATCTTTTGATAGGCGTGGATTGTAATGCATCTCCTCTCCCACTGTGCTGACCTGAAAATGAAACACACACTTGTAAACAAGCACCTGATATGCAAATAAAAAATAGTGATAAAGTAACAGATGTATCCTTACAGTGAACCCTTTGTAGTCATGAGCAGGATATACCAATGTGTCTTTGGGCAATGTGAAAATCTGCTCTCAAAAACCGATGATGAATCAGAAAGAAAAGGTACAAAAATAAAAAAAGAAGGAAACATTCAGCATCAAGAATACGTTTTTTTCAGGTTACAAATACATAGAACAGTTTTCATGTCCTTGCCTGTGAATGAACTGAATCATATAATGTGTCTGAACTTCCACCCTGTCATACGAGAGAGTACTAATATTAAAAGGCAGAAAACTTCATTTTCTGATCCCAATGTCCACCTCTAACCCAAATAAATAAAGACTTCTACATTTGCAAAACAATAATATTCCTTGAACATAAACAAGATGAGAAGCAAAATAAGGTAAGAGTAGATGCATTAAGACTTAATATTGTCTACAACAACAATAATAACAACTATGTTGCAATCCTAAGAAGACTTGAAACTGTTGGCTCACTTAAATTGTACTTTGGAAAAATGCAACAATAACAAAATATACAACAACAACAACAACAATGCCTCAATCCCAAGCAAGTTGGGGTCAGCTATATGATTTCTCACTAACCATGTTGCTCCAGTTAAGATCATCTTAGAACCATATTACTTTTATCAAAATATAGGGAAAATTATTTAAAAGAAAAAAGAGAAAAGAAAAGAGTGTGGACCATAGTCAATTAGAGAGAAAGAATTTGTATCTAAAATAATTGGCGTAATACATACGGAGACACCTAAAGTTGGCACAATCTTTCACTTAGACACTTAAACTAGGTCTCTTTCCAATTAGACACAAGAATTCATTTCAAACTGTACCAATTAAACACAAAACTATGACATGGCAAAGAAAGTGTTTCTCAGTCTCCTTGAGCGCGTGAATGAAATAAACATGGCATTTTCCAATTAATTAAATATTAAAAATGCATTTGACCATTGTTATGTAATTTTGATGTTATCAAAAACACCTTCAGATCTGAAAATTTTGTGGGGAATCCAAATGGGTCGCAGTTTGTCGGTACCAATTATTCCGGCGAGGCAATGTCGGGTGGCGTACGGGATTAGTCCAAATTTGAAAGTTACAAAGTTTCGTTAGAAGATTTGATGCCGACAGGTGGTTACCCCTTTCTGCTTCTGCTATGACAACAGCTGATTTGCACAAATAAATCGCTGATTTCCGTCACCAAAAAAGTATTCTCCAGTCAATTCGGATCCGAAATCTATGTTAACAGTCAAAACCCAGCCTGTCGTGTTCTTCGCAGATTTCGTTTGAAAGTTTTCTGACAAAAATCGCATCAAATCAGTTCCAATCAAGCTAGAACTACGAATGCAACTTCCCAACAGGTGTAGGGATGAACCCCAGTGACTAATTTGAACAAACACTCACGAAATCAACGAACCCTAGGTCGTTTCTTCTTCGCACAATCAGCTCAAAATTTCGAACCAAAAACTAGCAAATCATTTCAAATCAAGCTAATCCTTCCGATTCAGCTTTAAAATGATGTTTCCAACTAGATTCCCAAACTCCCAATCGAATTCAAACTCAAATCATGGAACCGGAATAAAAAAATTCCCAAAATTGCTTCTGATATTCGATGATAGGGTTCAGAAGCTCAATCCCAACTTACCCAAACTCAAACCAGTAATACTAGCTCAGATAATGAAGGAATTCAGAAATTTCAGAATCAAAATCGAGCAAGAGAACAGGAGGAGGAGGAGGAACATCGGCTGGTGGAGGAACGTTGGAGGTTGGGGACGAAGGGGATATTTGCATTTTAGTGGAAATAACACTATATAGCTGAGGTGGACAGTGAGGTGGACAAAAAAATGATGTGGCACGATTTATAATGGTTACTTTTGCCACGTAGACGGAGATTGCAGAACACGCGCTTGGTTAATTAATAAGCCAGCAAAAAACGTGTCTAATTGGTATGAGAATTGCCTAAGAAACGTGTCTAATTGGAAAGAGGCCTAGTTTAAGTGTCTAAGTGAAAGATTGTGCCAACTTTAGGTGTCTCCGTATGTATTACGCCAAAATAATTTGCTCTAAATTCAGAATCATGTGTGGAAGACATCCAAGATAAGAATGCTAATAGCTTGGATTGTAGGTTTCTCTGTTCCAAAATCGAAGGTAGGGATATTATCAAGACCAAGTATTACTCTTTATAAACAATGACATTTGACATTTTCCTATAATTTTCAAGCACAATCTCCATTGCTAAGAATATTCTTGATCTATCGAACTGCAACGATTACCTTATGTATACTAGACAATCAAAATTTTAGAGTTTACCAGCGAAACAGAATGAGCTGAACCACACTATTAAGCTTTTTCCTTTAGTCAAAAATTCAGTAAAAGTCTGCAAAAAAGCATCAAGGGAGAGGTTGTACCTGAAAGTCTGTCCTTCCACATCCACGTATCAGAAGGGCATCACCAGTAAAGGCCATCCTTGGCTGAGGTTGATTGGGTCCTTCTCCCGTGACATAGGTTACACAGCCTAGTGTATGACCAGGAGTTGCACGAACCTGCAATGAACGCACTATTGCATTTGAATACAGCTCAAAAGGCACAGGTAACTTCCAGCTACAACGCCTGCCCTGCAGCCTAGTTTAGTTGATTGCTTGGCTGTTATTGCCTTTCTTATTTGATCCAAACTGACTAGCACAGAAATGGGAAAAAGAAATATTGATAGTTGATACTTAGAGTGGTAGATACAACAGTTCAAACAGATGAGATTAACTAGAAAAGAATGCAGTTCAAAGAAAGTCCTAAGGAGATGTATTAATTGTATCATTGACATCTTACTAAGGTGACATTTCACTAAGCCATGCATATCAGTGATTAAAGAACAAACAAGAGTCAACTAATAAGATTATAAATACTTCTCAAAGAGATTTGTACCAAGAGTTGAAATTTAGTATCCTAATTATTTCTACAGTGAAATGCAAATGAACGTTAAAGTAATTGTATCTGCCAAGACGCTCGAATTCCATGTTGCACTCACGATGTTAAACGTAGACATCCTCCAACATCTTCATCAATAAATTGAAATATAGCAATACAGTTGGTATATATATCATTCATTGGGGTGAAGGTGAACGACGATTCATGTGCTTAAATTTTACAGAATCAGCATTTAAAGCTCTACTGCTTATCAAAGAAATTTCTTTTTTTTTTTTTTTGGTAACTAAATATTTTATTTACCAAGTATAATATGTACAGTTCAAAGCAAAAAAAACAACCCCAACCAGCAGACTTGGACATACAGCCCCAAGCCAGCGTTCTACACTACATCTCCTACACTCTAAGACACCTACTACTCACTATTAAGGATAAAAACTCAAACTTTCCAAGCTACTATGCAATCTAGGAAACCTCGCACCTCTACAATGAACATCTCGAATAATTTGTCTTCCCAGCATCTCGGTAGTTCGCCATTTGTGTTGGAACAATCTCATATTCCTCTCATGCCAAAGACAGTACAAACAGCAAGCCAATGTCATTCTATATAGAGTTGCATCAGAAGATTTCCCCTGCCCATACCTCACAGCCCACCCAATTTCCTCCTGCCACCCCTTAGACTTTCTAGCAATCCCTTGCCACCCCAATATCCTGTCCCAGATGGTAGCAGAGTAATGGCAATGGAAAAATAGATGATCAATAGACTCGTCTTCATTATTGCACAAAGGACGTTTCAAGTCATCAACAGGCCTCCACTTTGCGACCCTGTCTTTGGTGAGAAGTCTTCTGTGGATAGCAATGTAAAGAATGAACACCCACCTTGGTGACCCCGGATTATTGCAAATTAGTCTCTTCCAATCAACTTTTTGGAAGTCCCCCCCTAATCCCGCAATACACTTCTTTTGTGGAGAACCTAGTCATTTGAGTTACCTGATCTTCAGTATATCCAGCTTGCTCAAATACTTCTTTTGCATTCAAAATCTTTTTGACCACCCATGAAGCTTTATCAACCTTGGCATCCCATATTCTACCTTGCTTGATATAGTAGGCATGAACCCATCGAATCCAAAGCTTGACCTTTTTCCCACACACATTCCATAAATGTTTGCATATGGCAGCTCTATTCCAGGCATATATATCAAGTAGTCCTAGACCCCAGCAAATTTTGGATAGCATAGTCGATCCCAAGCAATTAATGCTTTCTTTGATATGTTAGCCCCACCAATCCATAGGAACTTTCTACATAGTGACTCAATCAGTTGCACAACTTTCTTTGGTAGAACAAAGACTTGTGACCAGAAGATTTGTATAGAGAATAATACAGACTTTATCAGCTGAACTAGCCCAGCATAAGATAAGAACTTTGCAGTCCATGATGTGATTTTGCTCAGCATCACACTAGTCTTTTTGGTACTTAATGGAATCCCCAAATACCTGAAAGGCAGCTCCCCTTGTAAGAACCCCAATTCCTGCAAGATGGCATTTTGATCTTCTCTGCATACAACTCCAAAATAAATGGAGCTTTTCTCAGCATTTGCAGACAGACCAGAGGTTGTGGAGAACTCTTGAAAGCAGTCATACATCATTCTAACCGATATAGGATCCCCTCTACAGAAGAATAATAAATCGTCTGCAAACCCAAGGTGGGTAATATTCAGCTTCTCACATTTCGGGTGGAAATTAAAATCAGGTTGTCTTCTTAGAGTCTTCAGTCGCCTGTTCAAATATTCCATAGCCAGCACAAATAGAAATGGAGATAGAGGATCCCCTTGCCTTAGCCCTTTCTTTGCTTTGAATGGGGCAGTAGGTACACCATTGATGATAACTGAATAGGATACAGTACTAACGCATACCATTATTCATCTTACAAACATTGCCGGAAAGTTTAAGTTAGTAAGAATTTGCTCCAGAAAAGGCCATTCCACCGAGTCATATGCTTTCCTCATATCAATCTTCAACATACAGCTAGGCGAGATTCCTTTCCTTCCGTACCCTTTAACCAATTCGTGACTCATGATAATGTTATCAGTAATCACTCTTCCTGGCACAAATGCAGATTGACTAGAATCCACTAACATATCCATGACTTGCTGTAGTCTGTGTGTTAGAATCTTCGAAATCAGTTTGTAGAGTATTGTGCAACATGAGATAGGTCTGAACTCCGACACTCTTGAAGGGTACTTTACTTTAGGTGTGAAAGTAATAGTGGTGCAATTTACAAGTTCATGCATGCATCCTGATGAAAATAACTCCAAAACAGCTTTAGTAATATCCTCTCCAACAACTGACCAAGCTTTTTTGAAGAACACAGCATTGTAGCCATCACATCCCGGCATTTATATCCTTCAGAGCTTGAACCACCTCATCCTTGGTGACTGGTGCTATAAGGTAGAGTTGATATTGTCTATCCAAGATACTAACTTCCTTCATAACACTTGGATTTATAGCAGGCAATTGAGTTGCTGCTGAGCCCAATAAATTTTTGTAGAATGTAATAATCTCCACATTAATGGCTTCTTGAGTCTGCAGTAGAACACCATCTGCATTTGATCAAATTCCTGATCTTATTTTGGGTCATCCTATTCTTCATGTTTGCAAAGAAGAAGGCATTATTTGAGTCCCCCAATTTAGCCACTGAACCCGTGATTTCCGCCTCAATATGTTTTCCTCTATGGTATCCCACTTCTCCAGCTGTTTTTTGATATCTCTTTCCTGTGCAAAGAAAGTTGGGTTGAGATGAGATCATGACTCCTCATTTGTGCTTGGACCTCTGTAAGTTGCTGCCTCAAGGTCTTGATTCTCATATCTACTACTCTCAATTCCTTTGTATTAATCTGCTTCAGCCCCTCTTTCATACCTTTCAGCCTCATCCACACACTATTCATCCAACTTCCTCTCATAGGTATTTGCCACGCTTCATTAACAACTTCTAGGAAATTGTTATGCTCAGCTATGCAATTTAAAAGTTCTTGGTCCCTGAAAGTTCTCCTCATCCAGATTTATACATAGAGGAGAATGGTCAGAAAGATTTGGGTCCATGACAATAACCTCTTTTTGAGGGAACCTAATCATCCACTCAGCATTGACAAGGCCCTATCAATTTTACTGAATACATGGCTTTCCATATAAACCATCTACCAATGTATCTCATTTCATTCATATTAGTATCCACTCAATAGTCATTAAAGTCTCTGATCTCCCCCTCTTGAACTGGTGCTCCACATTGTCTATCCTCTGCGTGTAAGATGGTGTTGAAATCACCCATGACTAGCCAGGGCTCCAGTTGTAGATGGTTCAGTGCTTCTCAAATCAGCCCACATCTTCTTCCTGTCCTCAATGGTATGTAACCCATAAATGGCAGTAAGATTGAACATCAGATTCAGCCTCTGAATGGTCAGCACCCATGTACATATTGATCAGACATACTCACCATATTATAGGTAATGTAGTTTGGATCCCATAGTATCCAAATTCGACCTCTCTTGCTATAATTGTAGTTATGGTACCAACCCCAACTCCTAGCAATTTTCCCAATTGTTTTAGTAGTATTTTGCTCTTTCACCCTATGCTCAAGAACAGCTATGATTGCTACATTATTTTTTTTTTTTTTGAGTTAAAGTTATGTTCTATTGATACTCGAAAAACTTTACAATTGAGCCCCGGTAGCAGCTTTGACTTACTACTACCCCTTTTACATCACAATTAGCTATGCAAAATCTATGTGTCTCTCTATCTATTTTACTACAATACAGACACTATTTCTAATCACTTCTATTACATTTCTACACTTCGTTTCTTCATGGAATCCAATCCAGTTGTTGTAACAATCCTTTCCATTTGCTGTTGCTCTTGCCTCTGACATGTATGTGCAGCACTACTTATCTGCATATTTGATGTTCATCATATTTGCCTTTATCAAATTTGATTCTGTTTCTCTCCCTCCAAATCATTGCAACAGTAATGGCAAATACACAACTGGTTATAGCATTTATTCCTTTCCTGCTCTTAGCTTTCTTACATATCCATTCCAGTTCAGCTTCCTAATCTCTAATGTTCCTCTTATGCCCCATCCAACTACATAGTCTAGACCACAGTTTCTTTGTGATTGAGCATTCAAAGAATAAGTGGTTAAAAGATTCTAGACTATGTCCACAGAATGCACAAACTGCAGGCACTTGAATACCAAACTTCAATAGTCTGTCAACTGCTGTTAGTCTCTGTTGTGCTGCAAGCCAAAGTGTGAATCTATGTCTCGGATGTACATTTGTATGCAGCATTAACCTCTTCCATTCAACTCTGCAATACTCAGGTATCAGTTTCAAATACATCTGTTTGATCTGGAACTTTCCATTCTTGCACATTGCCTGTAATCTGATTTGAATATTCCCTTGAAGTTGCTGATGCCCCATGATCACACTTCTATTATCCAGTATCTTTCTCACTACCCAAGATGTTGTCTTAGGAGTAGTCATTGTTTCCATGTCCCTGCTCTTTATATAAAAACTATGCACCCATCGTATCCATACACAATTCTTCTTCCTTGTTAAGTCCCATAAATGTTTGA